TGCGGGGCACCACTGTAGTGTGCAGCAGTGGCGACAGAACTGGAAGTGGTGGCGGCAGAACTGGAAGTGTTGGTGGATGGGGGAATCCCAGCACGGAGATGCCTTGAGACCCCACTCGACCCCCAGAGGACTCTCCACAATCCGCCGCTCTGCTCTTCCCAGACTCTGTAGCCCCTCCAATACAAGCCAGTACGGCCACCTTCCATTCCCAGCCAAGTTTATTCAGGAAGATGACCTCCCATCCCACCCTGTGTGTGTGTATGTCTCTGTGTGTGTGTGACACACAGAAAGAGACCCTTCTTCCTTCCCGTCCCGCCTCTCCTCGGGGCTCCATGGTGGCGGGATCTCAATGAGGCAAAAGGCGAGTCCAATCATCAGGCGCAGTGCTGGCCCCAACGGGGTAGACAAGCAGGAAGGGAGAGCTGGCAGAATGGAGGAGAATGGTCGTGAAGGTGGCGATGGCAATGGCAGCAGCGGAGGCACCAACAGCAGCAGCGCTTAGGCTCCAGGGAGCTCATTCTGGATGGGCCAGGCTGCCCGGGTGGCTCTTCCTCTTCTACAGCAGGAGGGCAGGAAGGAGAAAGGAAAAAGGAAGGCCCGGCCACCCCCTCAGCTGATCAAGAGGAGGCAGAACCGGGAGTGGCGGTGGAGGGAGGGAATCCCGACATGGAGGTAACCTTGAGACCCCACTCTGGATCCGCTGCCAGCACGAGCTGCTCCGGTTCCGCCTGATGAAGTGCCAGCACAGCGGCTGCAGCTGCCTTCTCAGGTTTGACTGTGCAGGGGGGGGGAGTAGTGATCTGGTGACCTATGGCTCGTGTGCCGGCAGAAAGGGCTCTGTATGCCAGCTGTGGCACAGGTGCCATAGGTTTGCCATCCCTGTCCTAGACCATGCATTTAATTTTGCAGTACAAAAGTATGTGTGCTATGTGCTCTACAACACCATACTGCATGGACAGTTATTGGTTATTAGGCATGTGAGGGTTTCTCGGTCCAAGAAGTCCCTGTCTAGCCACTGAGCAGGAGGGCTGCTGTTTGTCCCAGGGTGGGTGAACCCAGGAGTTATAGTGAAGACTTTGGAACCAGCCTGACATGCCTCCTAACACCTCAGCCTTCCCATAATTGGCAGAACTTCCAAAAATCCACAAGACTTAGGACCAACACCCCCACCTTGCAAGGTGGACTACCACCACACCCAGAAAAATATCAAGGTTCGCAGCCTGGGGGTACACCTGGACCCGAAGCTCACCATGGAAACCCAGGTGGCGTTGGTAGTTCGCACTGCCTTTTTCCGCCTTTAGCAGATTGCCCGGCTGCAACCCTACCTTGACATAGGGGCACTCACTACCTTGGTACATGCGCTCGTAATCTCAAGATTAGACCACTGTAACGCACTCTACATGGGGCTGCCTTTGAGGCTGATGTGGAAACTTCAAGTGGTGCAGAATGCAGCGGCCAGACTCCTTACTGGAGTGGGAAAACACCAACATATTTCTCCTATTCTGGCCATGCTGCACTGGCTGCCCATCCGTTTCCGCATTGAATTCAAAGTTCTAATGCTTACCTATAAGGCCCTAAACGGTTTAGGACCTCAATACTTGATGGAGCGCCTGCTCCCACCAAGATCTACTCGGATAACCCGCATGAGTCAGGAGGTGAGGCTGAGGAGCCTGACGCTGAAGGAGGCCCAGAGGGATAAGACTCTAAGCCAGGCCTTCTCGGCGGTGGCTCCTCGCCTTTGGAACAACCTTCCTCCGGAGATTCGCGAGGCCCCTACGCTGGGTAGTTTCAAATGCCAGCTGAAAACATGGATGTACATCCAGGCCTTCCCTCCTGTCAACTACTGATTTCTTTTGCTTTGCTATTTATTATTTATTTATTCCTGCACTATTTGTTATTGTTGTATGCTAATGTTTTTATGTTTTTTAATTGTTTTGATATTCTGTAAGCCGCCCAGAGTAGTAGAATATACCAGATGGGCGGGATATAAATCGAATGAATGAATGAATGAATGAATGAATGAATAAATAAATAAATAAATAAATAAATAAATAAATAAATAAATTAGTCTTTGTCGCTGATCAAAGCAAGACCTAGTTTTGATACCACAAACCCTCTATGCCAAAAACCCATATGTTTAAGAGAGATTTGTTTTACATTTATATTATAGTTTAAAAGGGAAAAGATTTTCAAAAGGTTTCAAAAAGCATATGTAGTACACAGTTGAAATCAAGCTATGGCAATCAAGAGAATACACACAAAAATAACAAAGCTAAACTAATCTACTTAATACTCACACATTAGCATAGAGTCCTCATACGTAGTTCTGAGGCATACACAAGACACATTCTTCCGGGCACAACATAGGACAGCAAGTGAGAATAGCATCTCCTGAGAGGTAAGCTGAGCCAAATAAAGTAACTTGTGAACCACTTTAACATATTTAACAGCCCATTCTAGATCCTCCCATATGGTCTGCCAATCAAGTTTGAAGTCCCTTGAATGTTCACAGAGACAAGAGTACTTTCTGCTCCACTCTCTTCACCCATCTGAAATCATCTCCTAAATAGTGCAGTAGCATGGAACAAATAACTTGGCCTTGAAGGTCTCTCTCGCAAAAGATAAACTTCAGGTGTTACTCCCTCCTTGTTACTGGGCAGATACTGGCTGTCACATTGTCAACCAGGTTTTCCTGGGTACCCACAGGGAAGCCTGATTTTCAAGATAAGTTCCATGTTCCCCCAATTTTGCGTTTTTTTCATGTTTTGGAAGTGCTCTTCCATCAGCTTTAACCTTTACTAAGAAAAAAGTTCTCTATTTAGGGACTGTGAACTGTTTTAAATAAGTACATTCCTTGCTGTAAAAATAGTGACAGATCTTCAGGAAACCAGTATTTTTCTAGGGCATATGCCAGGGTCACATGGAGAATGAATAACTGCTCTTCAGTCATATGACCAACTAGTTCCATAACCTGATAGTTGGGAGCAAGTCTGTTTAGTAACTGATGACTGTTGCCTTGGAGATACTGTATGTTTGAGACCTCTGAAGTTATCAAAGCATGAGTGACAACTGAAATATTTTTTTTCTCGGCAAACAGCTACCCTTTTTCCCCCAAAATAAAACAGGGTCTTATATTAGTTTTTGCTCCAAAAAACGCTTTAAGGCTTATTTTCAGGGGATGTTTTATTTTTTTCACATACAACAATCTACATTTATTCGAATATAGTCATATTATCATCTTCTGGTTGCTGCACAATGGTGGAGGGCGGGGTTTCACTTAACTAGGGATTATTTTTGGGGTAGGGCTTTGTGATGTTCACCCTTTGTGGCACTTACGTGTTGTGCCCTCACAAAGGCTCCAGTTGTGTTTTCTTCTCACTGCCACCAGTGGATTACCTGAATCCACAATATAAATGACGTTTGTCAAAACATTTGTCTTGTGAATGCAAACAAAACTTATTTATTGAAGTGAAGCCAATTTAATAATCACAGAAGTTCTTCAGATGAACAGTGTACACAATCAAATCATTAACAGGTCTCAATACATACTTTTCTCTTGCCATATAATGCCCACCTTCTCTATCTATTTATCTTAACAAGTTTTATCTCTATTAGTATCTGTTCCTTCTCTCTCTGACTAAGCAGTCTCTTCTCTCTCTCTCTCTCTCTCTCTCTCTCTCTCTCTCTCTTTCTCTCTCTCTGTATTTCTATATTTCTTTCTGACTATCTGACTCCCTCCTGCCATACCTTCATATAGCAGCTGACTCCGCCCCTCCAAACCTCTCATAGGCTCATGAAAATTAGATCATGACTATGAGTGGCATGATTGACGTATGGCGATCGTTGCAAGCTTATATTACGAGCATCCTGAAAAATCCTACTAGAGCTTATTTTCAGGTTAGGTCTTATTTTCAGGGAAACAGGATCATACAATCTAGTTAGTTAAACTTTAGGACAAAACTATTTTCTATCTATTGACTTATGTCAATTTCCAAACTGAAATATTTAATAAACCATAGAAATTTAGTGTCCATTTAGACAGATGAGTTATAAAAACAATAATTTTCTGTTGCTAGTACATTAGTTTGGCTAGACCACTATGGTTAACACCAATAATCATGCAAAACAAGCTAGAGGGTGCAGTACATGTATGTTTACCACACAGTCTTGAAACTGGAGTGGGCAGAAGAAAAAAGGACAAAGGGAGGAAGCACACAGCATTGAGTTTGACAGCATCGAAAATTTAAATGAAGGAAGTTTCAAAAGTAAAATTAAGATTTGCCCCCTTCATGAATAACTCTTGTTGATTAGTATAACAAGAAATTTTTAAAGGATGGTATCAAGTCATTATGCAGTTAAAAAATATTTGTGTATCAAAATAGGAACTGCGGGGAACTTGAATTTATCTCTGTCTACATATTATTTGTGCTTGTCAATCAGTAGCTGAGATTCAGTTTGATTCAATAAGTAAGTCAAAAAAGTAGAAAAGACAGTTGATGTATACAATTAATAATGCTGTTTTTAACCTATAAAGACCTAAAACTGCTTGGGTCCAAGCTATCTCCAGGACCACATCTCCCTTTATGAGATTGCCTGGGTGTTAAAATCATAATTTCTTTCAGTCCCAATGTGCATTTGGTGAGGCCAGCAAAGAGCGCCTTTTCTGTTGCTGTTTCCAGACTCTGCAACTCCCTCCCACAGGAGGACAGGCTGGTTCTATCTTTGCTGTCCTTCTGCAAACAAGTGAAGACCATTCTGTTCAGCAGGCTTTCCCTTAATTAAAGCTGAGTGGGGTTTTTAAATGATGCTTGTGCCTTACTGCTATGAATGTTTTTTTGATATTGCTTTTGTTTACTGTCTTAATATGGTATCTGTTTGACTCCTTTTAAGGAGAAAGGCGGGGGGAAATATTATATATTATTAAATTTATAGAGTGTCATGTATCATCAGTTCTACTTTTTTTTGTAATGTAACTGAAACTTCTCTATTCTTATTGTTAGGTTTGCTGAGGCAAAATCTTTGGGAGAAAAAGTAAATGATATAAGAAATAAAATCAGTAAGTAGAGCAATGCATATTTCATAGTCATTATTAGAATATCTAAATTTATAAATTACAATAGTTAAATCATAATAAATCATCTTTAATCATATCTCATTAAAGAATTTTAACTAATTCTAGTCTGCTGTCTGTTACAACTACGTACCAGTCATGATAAATGTTTAGCCCTATTATGACTTACCGTATTTTTCACTCCATAAGATGCACTTCCCTCCCCAAAAAACGTTAGGGGAAAAGTGTGTGCATCTTATGGAGCAAATACTGTAAAAATGGTGCAATTTGTGGACATTAACAGATCCTCCCAGAGCCCATGCCGATGTCATATGCGGCTGGATTCTGTACTCCTCTTCCCCCACCAGTCTTTTTTTACCCTCCTGACCCCAACCCAAACCCGACAGCACACCCTGGGAATCTTCTTTGGCTTCCTACCACCAGCAACAAAAGCTTGACTGCGCAGGGAAAGAGGCGAGCTCCACTTCCCATCTTCCACACAGCCGCCTCTGGCTTCCACCTCTCATGCCTGCTGCCAATATTGGTTCATTCAGCACCAGGCCGAGCCCCCACTGCCACCATCACCACCATGCTGCCCATCTCCCCTTCTGGGGCAGGGCCTAGGAGTGCTTTTGAACCACGTGCAGCCAACTGACGAGTTCCATACTGATGATGAGCTGGCTGGGGTGGTAAGGGAGCTGGTGGCTCACTACCCCTGATGCCTTAGCAGTTGCAGGCGCATGTGTGAAGACACAGCATACCATTCTCTGAAAGGGGGCAGAGTTTTACTTCCGGCACTCTTCGCAGGAACCATTTCTTGTACTGCACTTGTTCATAATCTTTTTCCCTGTTTACCTCCTCTAAAAATTAGGTGCGTCTTATGGAGTGAAAAATATGGTATTTTGTTCTGGGTTTCTATTCGTTTGTTTTTTTTATATGATACATTATATTAAAGACAAAATGAGGCAATGCAGGCTTTTTGTTGGAAGGATATTGAAAAATTCTTGGGTCAGAGTGGCAAAATTGATTTTGTGTAAATTACAAGTCTGATCATAGGACATTCTTGGCAAAGATACTGGAGTGGCATTGCCAGTTCCTACTTCAGGTGGACTGCGTTTAGTCAGAACTCTCCACTATGTCCTGTCCGTCTTGGGTGTCCCTGCACGGCATAGCCCATAGCGTTTCTGAGTTACTCAAGCCCCTTCGCCAC